TGGGAAGAGCGGTTAAGAGCCCGGGTTCAAATGCAAGCACTACCATTTACAAGCCATGCATTGAAAAACTAACCTCCTGGGGCTGCAGTTTCCTACTGTGTAAAATGGAAATCAATATAAATATATCACAGTCATGGAGAGCCTGGAGTGCCTGTCACATTCTCAGTGACATTCACAAGTGTTATCCACTGTTTCTAGACTTTGATCAAATTTTTAAAGGGGTGCCCCCACTTCCCAATTCAGAACTCTTACCACTTAGAGGTCGAAAGATGTCAGCCCCGACAGGTGCCACAGAACACCCCCAGATGCTCAGAACAGGAATATATGGTTGGAAATCCTGAGGAGAAAAAGGCTGGAAGAGTTACAAATGGGGAGAGAGAGAAAAAGGCAGCTGGAAAGGAAGTACCAGGAAGAGGAGGGGCCGAGGGAAAGACCAGGAAACTGATGGTCAGGGGCCAGGGGCCCAGGGCTGAGTGATGGGATGGAGGAGCTAGAGACTGAAGCGGGAGGGAGGAAGTAGAAGGGAGGACAGGCGGAAATGTGGTGAGGATGCTTCCTGATAAACCTGTGGTCTTCGCATGCTCTTGAAATGAGTAAATTTTGTTAAGTAAATTATACCATAATAAAGCTCTAGAAAAAAAAGAAAAAGAAAAAGAAAGAAAAGAAAAAGAGTTGGGGGTAGAAGAGTAGGAAAATAAAGAAACCAGAGTAAGAGTTTGGGGAAAGGGGCTTTATGTTGAATACAACAAAAGGAGTCCTTCATGTCAACATGTAGCCATCAGCTATTCCTTGCAGAGGAGAGCCAAATACAGGTGCTCAGAATGTATTCTAAAGGTTAGAGCCCAAAGCTACAGGCAAGGCTGGAATTTACAGTTCATCCTGCTGTTTGTCCAGCTCTTGCTGTGGCTTCGAGTCTATGTCCTCAAGAGGCACCTGCAGCTTCTGGCATCTAGCCAGGGTGGCTGGGGACAGCATTGAAAAGGGGACTGTGGGAACAGCCTGGTGCAGCAGTGTCCCCTCAGCTCGGATTGGTTCCTTTGTTCCAAACATGAGGAAGCAGAAGCTGTCACACAGTAGCGGCCAAGGACGCTGGCGTGCCACTGTTTGGCCTAGTCTTCCACCCTCCCTCATGGTCAAACAAGCAGCCATTATTTATAAAAACTCAACACACATTGGATTTTAATGAGAAAATAACTGTATACTTGCATTGAATGCCTCACAATCACTATAAAACCAAAGCAGGATAATAACATTTAAGTGGTTAACATACACAGGAAAGCCAGATACAGAGTATAATTTCCAAACACAGTATTGCTGCTTTTTCCCCCTCCTCCCCCCAAAAAAGAAAAACAAAGAAAACATAATTTGGGTAAAGAGCAACACAAAATCAAAATTGGCAGCTCACTGAATGCTTAAAATTCAGGAAATTGGTTCTTTAAACTAAAATGGAATATATTCACCATCTCTAACACTTAGGCTACTTTTTTTCAATACCTAGTTTAATTAAATCCATTCTTTAGTTGGGAAAAAAAAAGGTTTAATTACTCATCTTCAGAGACAAGAATCAACACTGTTTTAGTGTTCCTTGTAACGCTTTATACATATATGTGTGTGTGTATATATATGTGGACATTGATCTATATACGGCTTATATGTCATTGTCTAGGGTGAGCAGCATGCATGGGTATGAATAGGCAAGTAAATTGCATTGTGTCATCCAAGTAAAACACAGCCCGGCCTCCTGCCACTGACAGACCCTGTTTCCATAATTTCTGGATGAGAAAGCCAAGGCATGTCAGTAGTTAATCAGCTGCGGAGGAAAGTGAACACCTATAAACACGGCAGAATGCAATACTTCCAGAAAGTCTTTTAACATCTACAGAATCTAAACATTTTGTAAGAGGTGAGGTTAACAAGCTTGCGTGCTATTTGGGGGTGGGGCCGAGCATCAGAGGCAAAGTTTTTCGTAAGCCTCTTTCTCTCGATGGATTAGGCAGGAATGACTTTCCTCCAGGGGACGGTCCCATCTTCAGAAAGTTAAAAGGGTCCAGTTGGGATCCCAGAGCCTAGCACGGTATTATGTACAAAGCGGTGGCCCAAGGTTTCTTGAATGAATAAAAAACTCAAGAGCACAGAGAAAATCTGGCTCTCCCAAGTAAACTGTAATTTACATTTTAATGGGATTATATTAGGATCTTGAGTGAGTGGAGCAAGAAAATAGACAGCAGTAATCCGGAAGGCAGCACAGGAGTACTAGCAAAAGTTAAGAGATGTAGGGGCCACAGTGAAAACAGCTTTGTGACTGTGGGAGAGTCCCAGAAACAGCATGTCTTTCCTTATCCACACACGGAGCATGGCCCAAGAACCCCCAGCTCTGTATCTTTAAGCAATAAGTGCTCTGGTTCAGTCAACTGTGGTCAAAGACCACTTCATCTGCCTCTAAAGCGATTCCATCAATAGTGTGGCCTCTTAAGCTTTTCTCTTAGCTGTACATTCTCTTGTCAAATGTAGGTTTCATGTAGCACATGGTTTCCTTCAAAACAGAACAAAAAACTTTAAGGTAAGTCATAAGGATGGTTTCCTCTTGTGAAAAACGGGGAAGTTAGTCTATATCATGTCTATGGTCTCTACCAGATCCATGAGTCAGAGACAACATGAAGCACATCACATTTTTTGTGCAATCCATAGAACTATCCTACTCTCCAGCCATCCTAACTGCCACTGTGCCTGGGGCTGTGCAATGCTACTGCCTCCTCTGTTCTTATCCCTGTGTCTGCTTTGGGAATGCCCCCTATTGCTGGGTTCTCAGCCCAGGCATCTGGGACCTCTGGCTGGAAATCCTCAGGTAAAGACAATCCTCCTTCCTGGGTCCTCCCATTTCATGTCAGGACTTCTAATCTAACACGGATCTCATTTTCCTGAGAATGTTAGTCTCCATGCCAGCCTCCCTCACTATAAAATGAATTTCTTGCAACAGGGATCTTACTTGTTTTGTGACCCTAGCGGCTAGCACATTTTGTTGAGAATTCATTCAAAATATTCAGGAGAACGAACCATATAAAGATGGTGCCAATTGCCCATGTGCTCTTTTGGCTGCCATCTGTAGAATGTGGCTTCAAGTTACTGGTTCCCTTGGCAGTTTTAAAGGATCCTTGTTAGTAGATGGTTCCATTTTTTACTTTGTGCCTACTTCTCATCTGTGAATACATGTCCCCCCCAGAGTCAACACTAGTCTAATAAAAGAAGGAAATGTGCATTAACATCTACATACAAATTTTGTGAAATTGCTACTTGTTAGAATAACACACTAGAGCTTATGACATAATATAAAAACAAAAATGAGTTTTAGTGAGGTCTGACTTAATTATTGCTTTTTTTAAAAACCACAGTTTTAAAACAAAGGAGAAAAAAAGAAAAAAAAAAAAAAAAAAAAAAAAAAAAAAAAAAAGAAGGCTGGTTGTTTTTTTTTCTCAAGGCCAGAACTGAAAATTTTCTCATCCAGAAATTTAGGGCACCCAATTATTGAATACCCTTATCATATTGCTTTAAATGACAGAAAGATTAAAGCTGGCATCCTCTATAGTATACTAAGCATGAATATAAAGCATGAGAATAAATAGGAGACTTTCCTAAATGTCAAATTACAAAACTGCTCAAAACTTTGCAATTGTGACTCATGCAAATACCTTGTTAGGTCAATTTAATATTACAAATACTGCATCAGCTCGGTGCCTTTATATCCCTTTTCATAAAAAAGAAATTCTCACTCCACTCCTGAAGCCAGCAAACAGCTTTGGAGGAATTACCTGTACACCCAAGTGCCATGGTCACTCTGGAATTTTAATCCACATACATACACACATACACCCTTACTCCTGAACATACGCATTTTACACAAACACACAATGGTGTACACACACACACACACACACACACACACACACACTCACCCCATCTTTAGGATTTGTAGCTGATTCCAAGCCTGTACTTAAATTTCTATTCTATATTTTCCTTTGTAGCATCCTGAAAAACACTGGTTGCTCAGCAAAAATAGTATCTCTTACCTCCTATTTTGTTCCCATTCTTCCTCCCTCCCTCCCTTTTTCTCTCTCTACCTTCCTGACTTTTCTTTCCTGTCTCCTTTCTGACTGATCCAAAAAGAATCCATCATTCTTCTTCCTATCTCTAAGGCCCACTTTATAAAACAAAATAGTTATAAACACCTTTTTATTTCTTGTCATCTACCTCTCCAAGGCAGAGTTCACCTTTTTTTCAATTATTGCCACTCTAAAAATGCCCCCACCATCTTGAACCAAGTTGTTCAATGTGTACAGATTCTATACATGTATATATTCACCCATCCCATCATAAAAATAGTTGTTGCCCACTAAATATAGTTTTCCTATGAAGAAACGTAACTGTGAAAATGTGTTCTCATAAACTGCAGATCAGTGAATATTATAAGCAGACACGATCCTAAAGCTAACATCATCCATTTGGTTTGGTTTTCTCTTCCCCTTTCTCAGCCTCCTCATGTAGAATAGATTGTGTTTGCAACATGAAGAAATATTGTCTTAAAATATGGATTTTATGAATTGTGATCATGAGTTGTTCTCAATTAAAAATAATTAAATGTAAGAGAAGTGGAATCATAACTGCCTCTTCTGGGCAAATATGGAGAGAAACGCCATTCATTTTATGGCTGCTGGAGAAAATGGAGTTAATGCAACACCCTCCGATGCTGTGAGCGACAGGTGGGAAACTGGTGCAGGGAAATATCCTGTGCCATGTAGGCTGCACCAGCCTGGGCCCTACTGCTCTCTAAGTGGCCCTATCACCATTGTCCTTCATCACCCGGAGAGGCTGGTCTCAGTTCTGCCTGTAGCAACTATGTTGATTTGCTTGTAACATCGTTTGTCCTTTTGGATCCATTGTGGATTGGCCCAAAACCAGACACGGGGATTGAGTCACCAAAAAAAGTCCTTTCTCTTTTGACTCCTGGGTGTCCAGAGTCTGATGGGTGGACTTCCTTTTTGTTTCATCATTGTGTATTGCAGCTTCTGGTCTACATAAGGATTGCTGAGTTTGTTTGCACTTTAATAAATAGTCCATTAAAATGCTTTCAGTTGTTAAATTTCTTGGTTTCTTGGTCTCCCAAGCACCACAGACGCTTCCTGGGTTGAAGGAAGTTTATTCATTGTCTTCTTCCTCCTGGTTGGCATAGATCCCTGCTTCCCAGCGCAAAGCTAGTGCGCTCTTTCTTCGATTAACCCGTGTGGCCTCAAGGACCTGTAAAGAGAGGGAAAAAAATTATGCAGAGTTCATGGATGTTAATTATGAACACAAACCAACTTCTTTGTTTCTTTCTTCCTTTCTGTTTATCAACTTGAGAGGAGAAAGTGATAAAGTACTGCTGGGAGACAGGAGAGACACTGGAAAAGGGGAATAATGGGTGGTTCTGGTTATGCATTCGTCTCACAGCCAAAATTCATCTGCTACTTGACTCCTAGTTTTCACTATAGAGAGATTTGATTTTCATGAAATGTTCTGCAAGTTTTTGAACTAGCTATGATTCTGCATCAAGTTTTCAGATAAAGCAGATCTCTACACGCGACAGATCAGTGCTGTCCAATTGACCTTTGTGCAATGATGAAAATGTATCTCTGCTATCCAGTATGGTAGCCATTAGCCATACGTGGCTATTGAGCACTTGAAATAGGGCTAGTGTGGTTGAAAAGCTAAATATTTACGTTTATTTCATTTTAGTTAATTTTAATTTGAATAGCTCCATGTGACTAGTGATTACCATATTGGACAGCACACTATAGATGATCTCAGTCTCTTCATAAACAAGCAATCCAGAAAATAATTCCAAACAATGAGACCAGTGTGGATTCAGTCCATCAAGCTTTGCAAATCTATATAAGCCATGATGATATTTATAGTACAAAAACCTACTTGGGCAAAATTAAACTAAAAAAGCCATTACATGTAAAAAAAAAAAAAAAGTTATTGGATCAATAAAAGCAATCTCAGCATTCTGATGCAACTTCAGACCCCATATGCTAATCAATGAAATGAAAGGTGACAACATTAAGGACAAGTAGGCTCACTACCACTGAGGGAGAGCCTCCCTTCCTTCCATTCACTAGAGCAGTCCATGGACTCCTGAGAAGAGACTTCAGCCTATCTGCTCCAGTTTCAGTTTGATAAGAAAAGATTCCAGATTAATGGCATTTAGGTTGCCAACATATGAAAAATGGTTCTATATCATGACACTGCAGCAAAAACAAGCCCAGGCCTTCTTACCAGTTGCTCTGGCATTTGCTTAGGACGTATAGTTTCTGATTTTAAAGAAAAGTCCAATAGAGCCAACATTGGTTGATTATCCAAACTGCAACGAAGGCATTGCTTATTCTAAATATAATCAGTTAGGCAAGGGACAGTGATGGTGGTGACATGGATTGGCTGTGTCCCCACCCAAATCTCATCTTGAATTGTAGCTCCCATAATCCTCTCGTGTAGCAGGAGGGACTCGTGGGAGGTAACTGAATATGGGGGTGAGTTTTCCCATGCTGTCCTCATGATAGTAAGTCTCACCAGACCTGATGGTTTTATAAAGGGCAGTTCCCCTGCACACACTGTCTTGCCTGCTGCCATTTAAGACATGCCTTTGATCTTCCTTTGCCTTCTGCTGTGAGGCCTCCCCAGCCATGTGGAATTGTGAGTCCATTAAACCTCCTTTTCTTTATAAATTGCCCAGTCTTGGTTATTTCTTCATAGCAGTATGAAAATTGACTAATACAGTTGGCAACTCCAGAGAAGCAAGGAGATGCAGTTACAGGCTGAGGTGGGAGCCGAGACATAAGCAGATTCTGGGTAGATGGGAGATCAGGGGGTCCATCTCAACCTGCTTCTCTGCACCTTTGCCAAATAAATGCACCACCAAGAGCTTCAACATGTTTTCCTCTGGGAAGCCTCCCCCATTCCTCCTCAGTCATGTCTGCTGAATGAATGATGCACTGTTAAGCACATAAGCCATGTGTGTTTTGCATAATGTGTTTTGCATATAAGCATATCATGGTCACTCACTCAATATCCACAGATATCTAAGAATAAGAAATTAGCAGGAGGAAAGCATGCTTCCAAATCTGCTATAGTTAAATAGAGAAATTTTTCTAATAGTCTAATGTGTGGTAGCACAGAACTGAAAAACAGCACTGGGCTGCACGTGGAAGTCCTGGGCTCTATTTCCAGTTTTGTCCTCTGTTGTTCATCTTTTATCTCACATTTCTTATCTATAACATGGAGAACACAGCTACTCCACTTCACAGGCTTACTCAGAAGGCACTGTGGTCTCTGAAGTCCAGCAGGTCTACTTCAAATCCTTGTGACCCTGGAAAAGTCACTTACCCCTGTGCCTCAGTATCCCCATATAAAATGGGGATCATAAAAACTACAGCATAAAGTTGGACAGAGAAATCAATGAGGCAATGTTTGTAAAGTATAGTTCCCAGTGCATAGTAAGCTCTCAAATAGAGCCTAATATGATGGAATAATTACTTCTATCATCACGTGAAAGGGATTTATACATTATGAAGTGGCATACAAATATCAGGCATTTTATAAAGAACTCTACATTGTATAAAAGGATCGTCTCTTTGCCTTTCAGATTGCAGATACAAACAGAAAGGTTTACATCAAAGCTAAAAATAAATCTAAAGTTCTAAAAATTATGATCCCCATCCTCTTGGAATGTTTTTCGTCTTGTTATTTAAACCCTATTTTGATTCTCAAACAACTTGGGCAAATTGAGTTTGCTCTAGTCTTTAGGAACTCTTGTTACAAGCCATCTATAGATCCAATTTACCCATATTTATTAGTTTCCTACCAAGTATAAGGCACAGTGCTTCTTGTTGAGGATAGAATAGTCCCTTCCCTCATGGAGCTTAGCGATGAAAAGTGTAATGGGCAGAAAAATAATATTCATAACTATGGAAACGTTTAACATAGCTTGGGTTTGGACGTCTACTTGTCAAGAGCTCAAATAATTCACTTACACCAACAATGAGCTCTCTTTTCTTCATTAATTCCCCTAGTTTGTATGCCCACTTACCATGGTCACACAATCACTTACCATGGCCATACAATAAATTTCTAGTGAAATCTAAAGCCGCTAGTAATGGCACAGACAAGAAAATAAACATCATTACTGAAATACCTGGCAACCTTGATATAAAGCTGTCTTTGGGTTCATAAGGCTTATGACCCAGGGCTGTCTGGGAGTACAGCTGCCCCACAACTGGTCTTCAGAAGTTTCAAAAACCAAGGTATTTGAATGAACATCTATTCTGTAATTAATTCAGACGTGTGTGTGTGTGTGTGTGCGCGCATGTGTGAATCTCTAGCAAATTTAGAGCTTTTATTACTAGTTTATTACTGCATATTAACTTTACTTTCTAAAGTTCATTCCTTTATTTTCTGGGCAAAAAGGCACATGTCTCTGGGGCTCTAATAATAGACGTACTCACGTCCTAAGTTCTATGTTACTGTTTGAATCCTCACCACTAGTCTACAAAATTTATGCTGTTATTACTCCCATTTTTTATATGAAGAACCTGAAGCACAGGGAGGTTAAGTAACTTGCCCAGAATTACCCAGTTAGCAGAAGGCAAAACCAAGATTTGAACTCCGCACTCTGGGTGCAGAGTTGATGCTTGAGGCCACCAGCCTACATTGCTGCCCAATGACTGTAAGGAGTCCAGAAGGAGACACATCAGAGAGGAGCAATCAACACTCCCCATGGAAATGGAAAGGGGAAAACAAAAAAGGATCTGATTTAAAGTTTTATTGTGGCTGGGTGCAGTGGCTCAGGCACTTTGGGAGGCCAAGGTGGGCAGATTGCTGGAGATCAGGAGTTCGAGACCAGCCCGGCCAACATGGTGAAAACCTGTCTCTACTAAAAATACAAAAATTAGCTGGGCATGGTGGCTGGCACCTGCAGTCCTAGCTACTTAGGAGGTGGAGGCACGAGACTCGCTTGAGCGTGGGAGGCGGAGGTTGCAGTAAGCTGAGATCACACCACTGTACTTTAGCCTGGGCAACAGAGTGAGACTGTGTCTCCAAAAAAAAAAAAAAAAGAAAACTACATAAATCAATAAATAAAGTTTTATTGCTTTCACAAATTCACATTCAGGTCTGGTGGGGAATAAAAAACAATTCTCTCTCCACAACCCTTTAATATTAATTTTTCTCTCTAATGCTTAGGGAATTCAAGTGAACTGCTTAACTTTGAATAGCAATCAATAGAGACAATTTTAATTTGGACATATGAAACAAAAGACAGATATGTTAAACAGTATCACCCTATTCATATTAATATTTACATTTCATCTTCCAATCTGCTTTTAAATTGAAGACAGAGTGGGCCCAACTCTATCTTCCTTGGATATATTTGACCAGATTTTCACTGTTTTAAATGGACTCAAAGGGGAGATGGGCTAAGTCCTAATTTTCAAACTGCCATCCTCCAGATGAGAATCACAATTAGACATTAAAGAAGGTACAGAATGACATTCTCAGTATTCATTTGATATCTTATGAAAGAAAATTACTGATAATCAGCAGGTCAGCTCTATATTTAAATATAATTCTTTGGCTAAATGAGAGACCAAAAACTTATTATGCCACAGGTTAATGCAACCAACTTGAAAAATAATTTACAATATCTAGTAAATGTTAGGATGTATCGGGCTAGTAGCCAGTGCTTCTAGTCCTAGATATAGAGAGGTTCTTCCATAGGTACATAAAGAGACATGTATAATAACATTCATAAAAGCATTATTTCTAACGGTAAGAAAAACTGGAAATCGTCTACATTTCCATAATAGAAGATTGAATAAATAGTGATATATTCATTCAATGGAATACCATACAGCAGTTATAAAGAATGAACCAGAGCCACAGTGATCAACAAGGACACATCTAAAAACAATGCAGACAGAACAAAGTCAGGAGCGGAAGATACTACAACATGATTTACCATTTATAGAATGTCTTTAAACATGCAAAAATAAGGTGTCATTTATGTATATATACATGTATAGTATAAGTATAAAACCATGCACAGAAATGATGAACGACAAGCTCAAAAATAGTTACCTCTGCGAGATTGTAGGGGAGGAGGGAACTGGGAGAAGTAACGAGAGGGCTTAAATTGTATTCTTTTAAAAATATTAAATATCATGAAATGATAAGAATGGACAAAGCTGGGTAGGTGGGTTTTATTATTTTATTATCTTACATTATTTTGAATGCCAGTTCCATGATATCAGGAACTCGTTTTGTTGACCGCTGTATTCATGGAACCCAGAACAATGCCTGACACATAGTAGAGCCTCAAAAATTGTTCAATGAATGAACGAATGATTCTCTCTACAATTCTGTATATTTGAAATGATTCTTTTAAAATCAAAATAAAATACAGAAATAAAAATATGAAAAATATTGCGTTTTCTCAGCAAAAAGAAAAACTGGACAAAATAGAAAAAAAATTAAGAGAGAAAAATATGCCTTCTCATAGCACATATATTTGTGAAATCTGTGTAAAAGGAAAGAAGACTTTTGGGGTCTGGGAACAGTGGCTCACACCTCTAACCTCAATGCTTTTGGAGGCTGAGGCAGGAGGATCACTTGAGGCCAGAATTTTGAGACCAGCCTGGGCAACATAGAGAGACCCTGTCCCTACAAAAAAAATAAAATAAAATAAAATTAGCTGGGCATGGTGGCACACATCTGTAGTTCCAGCCCTTTGGGAGGCTGAGATTGGAGGATCGCTTGAGCCCAGGAGGTTAAGGCTACAGTGAGCTCTGACTGCACCACTGTACTCCACCCTGGGCAACAGAGTAAGACCTTGTCTCTTAAACAAGGAGGCTTTTGGAGAAATCAAGGCTTAGAGTTTCTAAAAAATACACGTTTAAAGATTGGAGGGAGGGAGGCCTGGGATGGTTCACATTTGATAAATTTGTAGATTAGGATGGTTCATATTAAATCTATAAAATGGAGCTTTCTAGCTTTATGTTAAGGTAAACAAAGAATGGGTGAAAATCAATAGCTCAATCTGTATGAGCTGCACTGTTTTCCAACCAGACCAAGTATACTTGCTATTAATTCCTAAAGAAACTTTAAAAACCAAAATAGCCCATCACTTATGTTCTCTGGTCCAAACGTCTTCAAGATCCGTGAGCAGGCAAGGTCTTCCCCAGTACCCTCCCACTCGCCCCCACAGCACAGCACGGCAAAGCACACCATTGTGTATCACTGTTGCATGGACTCCAACATTTTGAGGCAGTCCCATAGTTCAGAAAAGGCACAAAAAAATACATATGGAGACAAGTCATTTTTCTTGCCATTTTCATTTAACTCCTCAGGAAATGGCAAACCACAACAGCATGCAGCTGGATCATGCATTCAGTAAGACCAAGACAAACAAATTGAAAAGTACCTCGGAAGTCACCTTGCAAGACAGTAACTTAGAAGTGTACTGGCAGAGAGGGAAAAGACCAGGGTTAGTACATGGCAGTGACACACTTACAGAACACCCCCTAGCCGGGAACAGGCACCACACCAGAAGAAGATGGGAGGGGAAGTAATACCAGGAGGCCATTCTACACCCATGCCAAAACTTTCTCCAACTGATATTAGTTTATAAGTCTTTCCTTTGCAGCAACTAGATACCCTATTGTTCACTAATAAAAATATCAGATAAGCCGTACTTTGCTAATTCAAAACGTTGCTTTCATTTTCTGCCCTTTGAATTAACAAGATTCCTTCCCCTCTGTACACAACCAGCTGCCCACCAGCAAGGTTGTTGGGGCCATTTTGGATTTGCTAGAATCTGTAGCCAAATAGCCTTTCTCTTCCCATATGTTTCTCTGAACCCCAAAGCCGTCGTGTAACCTGTTGTTCCATTAAAAGAAGATCCTAATCACAGGAGTTGGTTTGTGGAGGCAGATTCTCCGAAACTGGCCTAAGGGTAGTCCTGCCTAGGGAGACCACACAGCCTCCCTCGTCAGAACCGTGGGGACCTGGGTAAGTTCCTGAAAGTGGGATCATCCTTTGATAGCAATTTCAGGTGATTATTTAGGATTATTAGTATGAGCACTTAGGAACTGAAATGATCCTTTTGTTCCTACAGGGGACTAAAAGTCTTCCGCAAAGTACAGAAAAAAATGGCCTGACAATGAAAAATGAGACAGCAGGACCGATTTGGGACATCCCTCTCCAGAATTATGGTAATGAGCACACATTTACACTGCTTGGGGCCTTTACAGCATTTATTGGTTTGGGGCATTGATAGCCATAGACTAGTTAGGTGGGCTCCCACATCTGTGATCGCTGACTGCTTCTTATATGTAACACTTAGGAATTATAGTTCTGCCATGATTGGGCTAATGGCTGGGGGCTGACAAGTCAGGAGCTCTTCTCTCTCCTTTGCACCTTCACTAGGGTATGAGTGAGAACCCAAGAGAGAGTTAGGGAAGCACAAGGCATCACTGAGTTTCCTGTAGAGTCTGGGGGAACAGGAGGCAGATGGGCTTCCTTCACCCACTGAGCGAGACGATGGCCACAACTCTCAATGCATGTCCTGGTCTGGAAGGGTAATGTGTGCAGGAACTCTCAGTTTTCACGCAGCCCAGGAAAACTGACGAGGTCTTCTCTTGTTCTAAGACAAGACAGAGTGGTTGGATGACCTCTCAGTAATTAAGTCATGGGATGAGAAAGAGAGAGAGCGCGCACACAAGAAAACCCCACTGAGAGCAGATCCTGTGCTAGAAGTAAAGATGGGGCTGAACATCCAGAAGGCTGTGATTTGGACTCTGGTCAGCATCCCTCCAACTGAGAAAGGCAAAGCAAACCCTCGAGATGTTTATGAGCATCACTGACTTTCTGAGGCTCAGGTCAGGTTAGGGAAATAATTGGCTGGAAAAATACTGTTTGCCTAAATACAGTCATGTCACTTAGGACAGACTGATGAGTCATAGTTTCCTAAAGGGATTCTTCATGCCTGAAGGAAAAACATCCAAATAGTCCATCATTTGTGCCCACTGATCCAAATGTCTTCCAGATCCATGAGTGGGCAACCCCACCTTGGAGGCAGTCCCTTTGCAAGGCATCAAGAAGCCCTTTAGGAAACTAGGATTCACTCGTCCATTAGGAATTGCATGACTGAGCAGAAATGGTATGAGACCCAGATAAGGGGACACTTCTACATAAGAGAACATTTCCAGATAAGAGAAACTCACAATATGAATAGGACTGCTGCATCTGCGTGTGTGGTGCGTGCACTGCACAAAAGCATCAGACTAAAGGGATGAATGGTACTAAAGCCCAGTCTCCTACTCTACCCCCAAAATGTGTGGCTGGTGCAGGGCTGCATCTTCATAGAGGAACAAGGGTGACTTTTTTCCTAATTCACACAAAGGCCTTGCATAAGTTGGTAAACAGCCCTGGGTAAGTGGGTGGGGGTGGGGATAGTAATCCTCCTGTCCCCAGAATTAGCCAAGAGGTCCATTAATAAGTGAGGCTGGAGACACTCATTGGTGACTTCAATATGCAGGACAAAGAAATCAGCCCAGGTGGGTGAAGACTGTGGCCACTAAAGGGAGTACTTTGCTCAAGTTCTGAGTTAGTAACAAATATGGCTGGTTGGGGATAACCTTTGGATAACACCACTCCCTGACTCCCATAAGCCAGGGGCCTCTCTGCATATGACTTTTTATAAAGTGGAAAACTGGAGAGAGCAGGGCCCTGAGCTGAGTCCCGGTGGACAGGACCCCAGAGGCCACCAAAACTCTGATGGTGCTCGGGGCTCGGGGCCTCAGGGGACACTGAAGTTGTTTTGATGGCAAAGATCAGTGTTTCTCACTCAGCAAAACTTCCGCCATAGCTACATTCTATTCTTCTCCTTCTGTCTTTCACTCTCCTCAGTATCATTGTGTCTAACATATCGCACTTTATACATATTCCAATGATCAGTGCCTGTCTTGTTTTTAACTCTGCCTTCTCCTTCGAAAGAATAAAAAATAATTATTATTTTTGCTTAATTCACAAAGAACTGCTAATTTCAATGGCCAAACACATGGTTGTATTCTAATCATGTGACAGGTACTGATTCTCAGGTATGATTTATCATCTCCAAAAGGGCATGTCAAAACGCTGCCAAGTGGCTTACTGGAAAGAATGTCGGCAAATGGAGGTACCAGGGGTGATGCTGCATAACATGGGGAGATGCTGGGTATGTAGGTGTGAGCCACTGAGGTGCTTAGAGGGTGGAGAGTCTCAGAAGCCATGTTTCTCCGTGAGAATAGTGTATGTAAATGGAGGCTAGAGACCAGAATTACTTTACCTTTAAGAGAATTAACTTTATGCTTCTACGGATAGGTAAGCCAGTTACATAACTCAACCCCCCAGCAATCCATCTGCTGTCTATTACTATCCTTCTGGTATTAAAGAAAAAAAATGGAAAAGGGGCCACAGATCAGTCAGGAAAAAAATGAATCTTTGTTCATCCCTACAGGTAAACTTCAACACATTCACCAGTGATCGACATAGATAAAGGAGAAAAGGTCCCCTGAATTGGAAGGGCTAGGAGAGGGCTCTCATTTGAAGCCTGACTGATGATCATATGTTTGCTTTAGAAGCAATCTGAATTTGTTGTTTTAGATTTGAACTCTTAAATGAGCATATTGGTAGATTGGTAGATTTTGTCCTGATCCTAAGAATTTTCAAGAACAGTAAACTTGGTTCTGTTGTAACAGCAATAACAGTGCAAAACATTTGGCTTTGAATCCAAGATTCAGGGATATTAACAGCTTAATTAGTTAGGTCTCTTCCTTTTTCAAAATGTTTATTTACTGGGAAATATAGAGAGAGGAGGCTGCCTCTTCACTTCGTAAGTGAAGGGCAATCAGCATATTAAAACACTGATTCTAAGCAGCTTCATTCATGCAAAGGAAAAAATCCAACCTGGTTGGCATTTGTTAGGTGGCTGCCAGAGTGTCAGCGTGTGCACGAAAGAGTTTCCAGCCCTCTGCTTTTATGAAATGAGTGAGAACTGCCTCTACCCGTCTGTATGGAGTATTTTTCCCTATCATCTGCACTCCAACGCAAAAGACACACACAAGTGGCAAGTAGAGTGTGCTCAGCAAACACTCGCGTGGGTCACATGCTAAGTGGTTCTACTTGTTCTTCCCCATCCACATCAGAGTGTGGGGCATCCACTTGGCTAAATTCTGCCAAAGCTGCTGATGTATTGAGCAGAGTCGCTGGGAGAAAAGAAACCAGACACCTAGAGCACCAAGCTTCAAAATGATCTAGCCTCCCGAAAATTCTTAAGGTAAACTTTATCCTTTGAAGTGGGGCTTCAAAGAAGGGCTGGTGAAAGTGACTGAGGAGCCAGGGAAAAATCCTACAGGCTCACGAATGGAGCTGCTGGCTCCCCTACAGTGAAGTTCAGCAGTGGAAATGTCTGCAGCAGCTACCCAGGGCCAGGCGTCATCCCAGTGTCTAATACAGTGAACAGCCCAGTAGAATAGCTGCAACCTAATACAGCAACTGAGACAGCGCTCCATGCAGTTCAGGTGTAAACACAAGGGAAAGCCTGGGAGATGCCAAGTGAGTAGCCAGCTGCCAGATATCCATCTGCTTTCTTCCTTTCTTTACCACCATATATTTTGAAAGCAACTTTCAGTATCTGGGCTTCAACTCCAGAAATCCTTTAACTTAGCCAGCTAGGATATAAAGGCAATAAAGCAGCAGGGAATTCTTTTTTTTTTTTTTTTTTTTGAGACAGAGTCTCGTTCAGTCGCCCAGGCTGGAGTGCAGTGGCGCGATCTCGGCTCACTGCAAGCTCCGCGTCCCGGGCTCACGCCATTCTCCTGCCTCAGCCTCCCGAGTAGCTGGGACTACAGGCGCCCGCCGCCACGCCCAGCTAATTTTTTGTATTTTTAGTAGAGACAGGGTTTCACCGTGTTAGCCAGGATGGTCTCGATCTCCTGACCTCGTGATCTGCCTGCCTTGGCCTTCCAAAGTACTGGGATTACAGGCGTGAGCCACCGTGCCCGGCCAGCAGCAGGAAATTCTTACTGTGAACCCCATAGTATTCAAGTTTAAGGTGACCAGATGGTTTATCACCCAAACTGGGACACTTTCAAGGGGGAAAGGCAGGCTGGGTGCAGGGGCTCATGCCTGTAATCCCAGCACTTTAGGAGGCTGCGGTGGGAATATACCCTTGAGCTCAGGAGTTGAAGAACAGCCTGAGCAACATAATGAGACCTCCTTTCTACAAAAAAGTTAAAAAATAAGCCAGGTGTGGTGACATATGCCTGTGGTCCCAGCTATTCAGGAGGCTGAGGCAGGAGGATTGCCCGAACCCAGGAGGTCGAGGCTGCAATGAGCCATGATTACATCACTGCATTCCAGCCTGGGTAACAGAGACAAACCCTGTCTCAACAACAACAAAAGAGTGAAAGGGGATATTAATAATCCCAGCATCACAACGGGCATAAGCCAGGACTGTCTCAGGTAAACTGGGTAGGATCCTCAACCAACCCAAGCTATTTGTGACTTGAGTGCAGTCAGGGGAGGAGGTGGTGACTTCAATATGTGCTAAGAGGCTGGTGCCAGAAGACCCATAGGAAGCTGGCATGAACCCTGAGGCTGATCTCCAGGCTCCTGGGACTGTGTAGAGCAACAGTTCCTACGTCTCTAACTGGAGAAAGAAACCACAGAGCAGATGACTTCCTTCACAGTTAATGTGAACGTTATGTGCAAAGTTCCTAGGGTTTGGGGGTAGCAAAGTAGCCATGTGGTTTTCAACTGTCATTTTAACTGGCTCTTTGCTGTCAAGCTATGCACATGGGCTTGTTAACAGTCCTAAATACACTCGGTCTTTTAAGCACTGTGTAATATTGTTAGGGATTGCCTAGAGGGTCAGCTTTGAAGGAACAGCATCTTCATCCTTCTCTAGAGAAATACAATCTCTACTGGGCAATGGTAGAAATCAGCTCCCAGGTGTTTAGGGATGATTTCAGGGCCCTTGCATCCCTCTCCCTGTGTGGCCCTTGGATGCTGTCTTTCTATGCACCAAACATCTTACACACTAGCCTTGCTGGTCAACTCCAGCTATACTTGGCTGCAAACAACCAGCTCCCTGCATGATCAACACTTTTTTTTTTTTGAAACAGGCAAAAACCCAAACCCAGTTCCAGGCATGTGAAACCACGTATTTGAAAACCTATATTGGAACCCTAATGCTGACCAGACAACCACATACACATTTGTGCCTGGACTGGAATGCCACACGCCACACCGACGGCCGCGCTCAGAGAAGTGAAAGAGGAAAGGAGGAAAAACTTACACTACTATCATCCATTCTCTCGCGCCTTTTAGATTTGTGTGTCTCATAGTCTTCCATGAGGGTCTGCATCAGATTCTTGGGCCGCTGGGTTCCGGCAGCCTCTTCAGGGGCTAAGTCAGGCTGCAAGCTGGGGCCTTCAGTGGTGGGGGATGGAGGAGGTTTGACTTTCTCTATTTTCCCTGAAACAACACGAAGAGAACACCCTTTCTAAGCTTGTCTGCTCATGACTGCTTTTAGAAAGAAGAGAAAACTGGCAAATAAAAGAGCAACAACCTCTGACACAGAGAATGGTACCAGAATGATGGTTAAGTGTAGGCCATTTTATTATATTACAGGATCAAAGCACTTAAGGTTAATGCACAAACCCATCCAAAGATCTCAAGGACACCAAGTTCCAAAAAGTCAGTTAGATCAAACAGGCCCGGCACACAGTCTGCAAATATATGTTGGACAGACAGACACAGTTGTTTTGAGACATGTATCCTATCACAGATCATAGAATTAGACTGTCAGAGGTGGTGGCGCCTTGGAGACTCAGAGACCCACTTCTTAACAGATGAAAGAGCTTGAGGCTCTGCCAAGGGAAGGCTGTGCTGAAGTCACAGGGAGCCAGTGATGGTACCCAGGCCTCCTGCTTTCCTCACCAGGGTCTATCCTCTATAGCAGAGGAAGCCAGTTGTCTGCTGACCTGCCCAGGCATTTTGTGCAGACAGCTCACTGTTATAAAACCTTTGAATAAGGATGAGGCTTGTTCTTCTCAGTTCACCCCAGTCTTATACTGGCCAGCTTCATTCATTTACCTCACCTGCTGGGGTCCTGAAACATGAGGGTTTAAGGCATCCCAGACCTTAAGAAGTGTATACCAACAAAGGCAGTGGAAAAGGTGCACACCAGCCTTAGGAATGGGGAGATTTTAGCTCTTGCAATGTCCTCCAAGAATCCTCAGGATGGAGAGATGAGGTCAGTGATTAATTCAACAGTGGTGTGATGACTTTACGCACCCTTACCAAGACCATTTCCATCCCTCCCTTCCAAGAAATGCCTGGCCCTGGCTTCTGGCTTTTCAAGGGGTGGGTTTATTGCCACAGAGCCCCAAATGCACTACTGAGAAGTATCTTCAAGTACAATTAGGATTTTTCCAATTATGCCCTTTGTAGTTGACACGGCTAGAATCTGTGAACAAGGAATGTGGAGAAAACACACAAGATAAATGGGGCTTGCATGGCCCCGTTTGGGAGGGAAAAGGACCATTTGACCTCTTCCAGTTTCAAGCTGAAGATGACTCACCTTTCTTCATCTTACATCCCAGGCTTCTAACTTGGCAACTGCCTGGTGTAGCAGGAATCACAAGTGAAGCCTGGTGTCCATGTTTCTATGTGGGCTGCTTAGCCCTTTACTGGTGCAACCTCCTTCTGATGAGAGCTACAAAGGCCTGGAGTCCAGGAAACCCAGGTTTTTAACTCCTGCTCTTCCAGTACTTGGCTATGTGACTGACTATAGATATCATTTCATATTCCCACTTCAATCATGGGCTGATCACTTAAATTCTCCTAGCTTTCAGCTGTCACATTTGGGGATTAGGTGGAAAATAGGTTTTAATATACAGAAAAGGGCACTCCATTTCATAGCCACATTACATTAATAAAAGTGAGATTCATTGCTTTGATCTAAATTACCAGGATAACTGAAAAGTCTTTTGATATTAACAGTACAATAATAAGTATTTCGAGATCTCCAAATTCACTGGAAAAGGTTTCTATTTTTTATTATGGAAATTAGGGAACACTACAATGACCCCTATAAACATTATAAACATCACCCAGAGTAAACATTTATCAAGATTTTAGTATAATTGGCTCTTCCTTCCTTCCTTAGACTTGCTGAATTATTTTAAACCAATCATAGATTCAGGTCACCTCACTCCTGCACGCTTAGTATGCATCTCTGAAAATTCTGATTGACTTTTTAATTGAAGGCTTAAGAAACAATATAGCTCAGTGGTGAGCATGCAAGCTCTGGAGCCAGCCGGTTTGGGCTTGAACTCATGACTTGGCAGCCAAATCACTTTGTGCAAGTTATTTACTCTTTTGATATCTTAGTTTCCTCATCGGTAAAATGAGTATGATGATAGGGGTACCTACCTCAGATAGTTCTTATGAGGACAAAGTTAATATTTATAAGGTTAATATTCAGAACAGAAAGCATTAATGAATCCAGCTACTATTTAATTGGAATCTCAAAGAATAATATGACTATAGGGTGAGATGAACAATTTCATGCATATTCTGCATACAATTTTTGCATCTCTTCTGGGACCAAAAATAGACACCAGTTACCAGGTTAATTTTCATCATTTTCCAGTTGACCTCTCAAGTGTCCGGATCACTTCCCAGCAGCCATTCTTCCAGCATTAAACACCTAGAAAGCACAGCCTATATTCATTGCTTCTAGCTTCTCCCTTTCACACACAGCACAGTGGAACTCCTGTTTATATTTCTGTGAAGGCCATTTTCACATACTGACTTGAATCTTATCTGGTTATTGAAGCTTTTGTCTTCTCAATTAAGCTATAATGTCATCCTGAGGACAGGGGGGTACGTTTCACCTGTCTATGAATCCCTTTAATTCATCTGAATGTAAACTCCTTTAGAGTAGAGCTTTGCCTGTCTGGTCATTGCCAGACCCCAGCAGTAGCGGTGGTATACGGCATGAGGTATGAAATTCATGTTTGTTGAGTAATCAGTAAGTCCATTATGAAATATACATAACAACCACAAGTAAATGCTTATGGATTGGGACAGAATCTCCCACAGAGAATTAGAGGAAAGGGCTTAAATGCCTTCACCAAAATATATGAATTAAAACATTTTAGGTCTACAGAATCACAGACTCAACGGCTTTGGAGTAATAAGCGGATTTATATATCATTACTTTTGTAGGCTTCATGTCATCTGAGCCTTGCAACAATCCTGGGATGTAGTTAGGGTGGATGTCATGACCACAGAGGCTCAGATGCCAACTCCATCCCAAGTTACATGAAATAGTAACAGTCACAGTCTGGAGCCCAAACCCAGTGTTGATGATGGCTGAATTAAATTATGGGATGTATGCAGAAAGAATGCTGTAAAGAGGGTGAAGGATGACTATAGAGAAGTGCTCAGCCATTAAACATTAAAGACATTTCCTGCTTATCGATGATTTCATCCCTAGAGCAAGTTTTTCCAGTTCTAGCCACTAGAGGTCAGAGGAGTAACAGGAAAGAAATGCTGGCTTAGCAGTTCTGGAGCAGGGGCTGCCAGGGACAAGGGGGCTGAGAATGGTCCCTTTGGATAACTAAGCCCATGTTCTGGTTCTATCTACCCACTCAGGAGGGGCTATCACAGGTCCCCAGAGAGAGAAGACACTATGCCTCATCCCCAGACTTCCGGCCATCATTCTGGTCAGTATGAAGGGAAGCTAGCTCAGCCAGGCTTCTCTGCTGGGCCCTGTGATCTCTGATGCTCCTCTCCAAGTATGGTTCAAACCAGGCACCAGAACTCTGGGTGCCATCTTAGGAATCACACAGGCTGCTAAAAGGCTGGAGAGAAACCTGTTCCACACCTGACAACTTCCTCAGAGGTCCAGAGTTGCAGCCAGAGGTCCTCTCCATTAGCATGCTGACAGCACTCCGGATGCTCTTCCCCCAATAGTAGACACTGCAGACAGCACCACTGTCTGGGTCTCGATCATTACATGAGTGTGATACAAATAGTCTGTGCCACAGGCCTGGGAGCTCAATCACATCCTTTTTCATGACCTCATAAGGCCCCCTGAAGTCCCTTGGCCCAGAGGACATGCCCCAGTAGACTCCCCAAACCATGATGGTTACCTTTGGTGCTTCTTTTTCACTGCTCCAGGGTGTACCCCACCCAGCACTTCCCCAGTAACCCCAGGTCCAGCTTTGCTTACTCCCGCAAACTTTGCTCTGCTATCGGTTTATTCACCTCATGAATGATTCAATAGCCTGTGACACCTGACATTTGCCCCATTTTCAATGAGCACATCCTGCCATCCAGTTCCTCACCTGCACTGAACACTCTATAGAACACTTTTTTTTCTTTCATTTTTTTTGAAATGGAGTCTTGCTCTGTCGCCCAGGCTGGAGTGCGGTGATGTTGGTTCACTGCAACCTCTGCCTCCTGGGTTCAAGTGATTCTCCCACCTCAGCCTCCTGAGTAGCTGGGATTATAGGCACCCTCCACTACGCCTGGCTAATTTTTGTATTTTTACTAGAGACAAGGTTTCACCATTGTTGGCGAGGCTGGTCTCGAACTCCTGACCTCAGGTGATCAGTCTGCCTCGCCCACCCAAAGTGCTGGGATTACAGGCATGAGCCACCATGCCTGGCCAGAATAGCTCTCCTCAAGGACCTCAGTCACTATCCCTGAACAACAACATGAACACACAGTGCCATGTAGACCTCAGGGCAGACCTGTATTGGTCTTGGCTGACGGCCAGTCCTAACATTTACAGAGCCAGGAACAGGTATAATGTGACCTCTAAAATGAACATAAGGAACCACTAGAACAATGTTAGACTGAAATTCTGAGTGGAGGATAGGAAACATTTGAGTTTATTTCGTAAATGTGATTATATTCAAACTATTCCATCTGGAGTAGCTTTAGACTTAAGCTTTTGAAGGTGTTTGAGGGTAAGTGGCTTCACTTGGTTGACTCCAAAGATGTGTTTCTTACATTATGTCCTGTGACCTTAGCTTTGTAAGATAGTACTTGACGCCACAAATAAAAAAATCTTTGGTCAAATTAAGCTTGGGACACACTGGGTTCAAGAAAACAAGGAGGGAGAGAGGGATTTGTTTACCAGAGGACTTCTGGTTTTAGTGTTAGTATGATTGGGAAGCTCTAATTCAGGAATGGGAGTATAGCATTTCTCAAGTTTATTTAACCAGAAAACCTCACTTCATAGAATCTATTAAATACCTCAAGAAAAAAAGCCAGGTGCAGAGGCTCATGCCTGTAATCCCAGCACTTCGGGAGGCTTAGGTCAGAGAATCACTTGAGCTCAGGAGTTTGAGACCAGCCTGGTTAACACAGTGAGACCTCATCTCTAAAAAATTTTAAAGTAAGTAAATGAATACAGAAGCGGGGGGGAAAAAAAAAAGAAAAACTGTTTAGGAAAT